TCCCGCCTACGCAAGTCAACGGGAAAATCAGGAAAGAAGAAATCCAAAAAACGTCATTTGGAGGAGTCTTCGGTTTCATCGGTACCTACCAACACTGAGGACGAACTATTGGCAGACGAACCCAACCAAAAACGTCCAAAGGAGACTGACAATGAGCAAAGTGTTATAGCTCATTTACAGAACAAGGTGGATCTACTGACCAGAAAAATTAGAAGGATGTCGGGAACCGTGTGCAAATGTAAGCTCCACCCATCAACACCTCCTACTTATTATGTTAATCATATGTCACTCATTTAAGTTTACTAATTAATATTCATAGTGTTATTGTTATATAAGCATTGTACATTGTACTTGAATTTGAGTGCTTCGTTAGAATAAAGCGTTGTGATAACCAACTCCACTTCACGCCTTTGTTGGCCATTCTCTTCTCTCAACGGACCCTATCTCAAGTGCGTAAGCACATTGTAAAGTTTTGGAAAACCCAGTAGACGAAGAGGTACCACCAAAAGCATGGAGTGTCAGCGCTCTCCAGGCGGAAAAGAAAAAATCCTACACAACAGTGGTGCGAGAAAATGTTGAAGATGCACTGGCTGAGGCAGGCGTGATTTTTTCTACTGAAGATGCTACAAGCAACGCGGGGAGGCCGGCTCGTCGAAAACCACAACAGCGAGTGGTACCGACAAGGAGGACCCCGAATTCAAAATCCGATCCGATGCTATCATGAAAGGTGCGGTTATGGTCAAGAAAATCTTACCTCTACCGATTCCACCGATGGCGGACGCCCCACGTTTCTCGATCGGTTTGTCTACACTGCCGAATAAGGACACTTTTGCGACTTCAGCAATGCTACCGTGGTCTCCCCGACACAACGCGTGATCAGAGGAGGCAAATGGGATCATGAAGTTACCGAGAAAACCGCTACAGCCACCAAGGACGACTTCTTGGGGACTAACCGGGACGATTGGAGCAGACGCTACCAAAAAGTTATACCGCCCGCTGATGAGTGGAAAACACCGGTCGGTACCGACGCCAGCCTGCACGAACGACCTCTCAGCGTACAACCACCAGAACTGGAGCCATGCGTCCGGGAAATGGTCGCCGAAGGAAGTATAACGAAACATCCACTCGGCAAACCACAAGTTTACATCCCGTATTGCCTGTCCCAGTCAACGCTATGTAGATTGGAAAACAACGTTTGGGACACTTCTCTTGCATTAAGCCATAGAGAATTTTTCACTACTACTACACAAATTCAGTTAGCGAAATTCAAAACAGGCAACATCACCAAGGATGAACTGTTTAGCACATTAGAGCCGCTGTTGGTCGCGACTAACGTCGTCGACGCTGACATAATACAGAGTCACCTCCAGTTACGAGCGACTATTCAACACTCTCGCCGTGCAGCAGTTTGGTCCGCTATGCTAAAGACAGCCGCCAACGCTGAAATCAAGAACGAATTGGCGACGATCGATTTCAGAGGGACCAAATTATTCGACGGAAAACTCA